TCAGTGATGGAAAAGTTCTTTCTAAAAATGAATTAGTTCAAGTTCAAGTTCAAGACATTAAATATGAACTAGTTCAAATTCTAGTTCATAGTTTTTAGAATGAACTAGTTCAAGTTCTAGTTCAGTAGTTCATAATTTTAAAATGATCAAAAATTATAAAAAGTTACTAAAGAAAATGTGTTTAAAAAATAATAAAAATAATATGCGTTGAAACCGGCGATACGCGGCTCTGCATCATACTTTATGTCTTTATCCTATATTGCTATATTCCTATGTAAATGTAACTAATTAGTAATTATTAATTTAAAATAATAATTATAGAGTAGTGACTAGTGTTTAAATTAATGTTGAGTAATAAACGAAAACAAAATCATAATTAAAAATAATTTTGATTGCATGATAAAAACAGTGGAACACTCTGTATACAGCATAAAATAATTTGTATGAACATGTTTTGAGAATGTTATTTATAATGTTAACACTTTATTTTATTATGTCAAGTTACAACAGAATTATAATAATATACCAATACTATAAATTATATTATACTATTCTTATTATATCGGCGATCAACGGCGTCGTAATTTCAGGGAAAACATAAATATCCAAACTAAAAATAAACAAAATTAAAAACAAATTCGTATATCTTTTGATTCTTGAGAAGGYACCTGATCGGCTACATTTCAAAACGTTATGGTATAGCCTRTTCTATGAAAATTAAATTACCAATGAACGAACCCAAAACGTTCAAAATCATAATTAATAAGAACTTAGTTTACGTTCAAGTTCATTTCTTGAAAGTCAAGTTCACTCAATATGGAACGYGTTCCATATGAACTCGTTCTTTCCCATCACTGATTCATAATATGACAACATATTATTATATACGCTTACTACGTAATGCAAGCAAAAACAATAAAAAAGCTAACGGAGAGGATCTGACCCCCATGTTTCCTCTCCTTGAGTACGCCACTGTACTAGTATAATAATATACTCAACTAACATTAAATAGAGAATAAAGTATTTTATTATAGGTTAGAAAAATAATATTTATACATAAAAATTAAAATAGGGATATCTACAGAGTAGATTCTTCACCTTCTTCTCTGATCCTTTGATATTCCATATGCAGGTGAATGTGTTAAATTTTTACAGTTTCAAGCTAAAAGTTTAGGATTACCGTCAAAAATTCACTACATGGCACCAAAAAAACCAGTGGTTATTATTACATTACAAGGAAAAAAACCTGAGTTACAATCTCTGTTGCTTACATCGCATATGGATGTCGTACCAGTTTATCCAGTAAGTGCCTACACTAAAAATAACAACTTAAGAGGACATCGCAGCCACATTACGTGTTGTATCCGTTTTCATATGTACTACATAACACATTTTTATTCACTAGTTTCAATAGTGTGCTGGTAGTTTTGATTAACCCATTATCAAACTTTTAGGTAAAAACATTATCTGTGTTACTGTATTCTTTCGTTGGTTTTTTACGATACTTTAATTTTTAAATCAGTTGTGTGCATTAAAATTAAAACTACCAGTACACTATTGAAACTAGTGAACGAAAATTTGTTATGCTGTATATACCTATGTAAGATGAAGACAACACACGCGGGTGCGACATTCTCTTAACTAAACACTTAAAGGTTTCATTAACCGTAGGTAGGTAAGTCGTAAGTACATAAGAAAAAGGGAAAACTATATATTATTTATTTTAGTTATTAATGTTAAATAAGGCGAATATTAACAGTTAATTATCTGCTTAGAATTAAATATAGACATTCATTGTAAATTGTTGAATTTATCATGGTTCATTTGTATAGGGCATAGGCYCTCCATGATTTATGTTCCTAAAATGAGCTCGTGAAAATTTGGCTTTTATCCAGCTTTGTCGGGGAGTTATTGTTGATTGATACACTCGAGCTTTTAAATGAAGTTAATTTTAGAGTGTCTTTCTTTCATCCTTGTATAATAATTGTACATTTTACACTTTTATATTCCAAAATGATAGGTAGTCCAAAAATTATTATTCTTTTAATCAAACGTTTGCGAAAATGATGCGTTTTGCTAATAGATTTGCTATTGTATTTTAGTATAGTTTTTAGCTTTTCACGTCTGTTAATTATTATGTAATTATGTTTTATTTTCAATTTATTATGCATACTTATAAATTAGGTATAATATTTATAGAAGTATTGGGCTTACTGTTTTTAATAATAAAATAAATAWTTATTGATATTTAGTAATTATTTCTAGGAAAAGTGGACATATGACCCATTTTCGGCTTACAAAGATGCACAAGGAAACATATTCGCTAGAGGAGCACAAGATATGAAATGCGTCGGTATACAATACTTAGAAACATTAAGAAGATACAAAAATAATAATTTAATTCTTGATAGGACCATCCACGTTTCATTCATGCCTGGTATGTCTGAATAATTTTGGTATTTGAGTACAAATTTCCATAAATAAATATAACAATAATTAATTAAGTTATAATATTTCGTTGTATTAAATAGATGAAGAAATCGGAGGAATTTTAGGTATGGCCCATTTTGTTAAGACTGATGAATTCCGTTCTTTGAATGTTGGATTTACATTAGATGAAGGTTTGGCAAGCCTAGACAATGTTATCCCTTTATATCACGGCGAAAGAACAATTTGGCGTTAGTATATTTTCCAATAGTACATGCCAGAATGGAAATTTTACATTTATTAATATTAAATACTTACTCGTAAATACTTTCAAAATATTTTATATAATATGTTATTGAACAGAATTCTACATTCGAAGCACTGGCACTCCTGGTCACGCCTCACTACTTCACGATAATACTGCTGCTGAAAAATTGATGTTCGTTGTAAATAAAATATTGGACTGGAGGACGAAGGAAAAGTTAAAATTGTCCYAAGGCATGGATATTGGAGAAGTTACATCTGTGAATATGACAATGTTGGATGGTGGATGTCAACTAAACGTTGTACCCCCAGAGCTGTCTGCTGGATTCGATGTTCGGTTGGCTATAGGCACAGATAGACGTGCGATGGAGGATATCATAACTGGGTGGTGTCACGAAGCAGGCGAGGGTATACGATTGGAAGTCTTCAAAACAAATGAACAGACCACACCGACTAAACKAGATGATTCAAACCCTTGGTGGTTAAAATTTAAGAGGGAATGCGATAAATTGTACGTTTAGTCTTGTTTTACTAAATTTATCCTTTGAATATGTTCAGTGTACGATTTAGGGCTTGAAACCGGCTACTTGTTCCCAGAATTTTAAGAACCTAAAATCGTTAACCGTTATTTTATAACTATTTTTATTCCCGGATACCGATTCCTGTGGTGATTTTTCAGTTAACTTAAAACGTTATAATAACATTATATTATATGTTTTAACCGGTTATATGAACCAATAACTGATATTCATAAATATCGTGTACTGATGATGAGTAGTGCTGAGTACTGACTACCATTACTTATGAGCTAATATATTACATAATGGTATAATGATAAGCTCGTAGCTACTATAATAGTTTAATAATTAATAACTTCTTAAAACAAAGCAAAAACTGTTTTTCACATGAATGAATCGAGAAGGCTATTGATATAACTAATAAACATAATTYCCAGCACATAAAAAGGAGAATTTATACTGTGAAATATCGCTTTTATTTTTTGATATCGAAACTACAAAAAAAGTTATTCAAGTTTGAAAAAAGAGAACTTTTTCGTATAAGTGATATCAAAAAATAAAAACGATTTTTCACAGATAATGTTCTCCAACTATATTGTGTAGGTATCAATTTGAAGTCCTAGCTATCAGTTATCACTACAGCCTTGAGTCAGTGAATAGTTCTATCCCGCGYAAAACAGTTTTTGGTATGTTGTGCATTTGTTAGACGGAGACACACATGCAGGACGTGTAGCGCCTTCTTAAATCATACTACATATAGCTGGTGTAATAATTTTTTTTCTGAAAATCTATATCCAATCGGTTACYGGTAACCGAAATTTTTTGAAKCGGTTACGCTTAATCGATGACATGTCGGCARTCTTGACTAAAGTTCAATAGTTATAGGTAACCACYATCGACAGAACTGGTAAYAAATTCCTTTTTTAATTACCGACGTTACTGCTTAATCGGTAACCGATCATTTCGGTGGTTTCAAGCGCTGGTGTTCATTTTTAACATGTATTATATTTATTTAATWATAAACTACGCAGCGTAGTCTACTGAATAAAAATGAATAATAAAGTTATTTCAAACATTTCCATATTTGAGAAACTCAAAATTGATTTTTTTGACTTTTTTTCATTCGATGAGTAATAACATAAATAAGTTTTTGGTGAAATCAGAACTAACTT